TTTTCCAGGAGTTCTTTAAAAAAATACACAGTGTGAGAATACAGTGTGAATGTATGGCCCTTTAGGGTTGAAGGACTCCTATGAACTTCATGTCCTTGGTAGAGATGTATAAAATCTCCTTTGGGCACACCCAGAGCTCATGCCCTACAGGTAGATCTTGCAATTTCTGGTTAAGATGCAATGTTTCTAGGGCTCACCTTAGACCCCTACTCAAACCATGAAAGTCAATGTGAATAAAGTTGCCATGTAAGTTCACATCCATGTCATTCAGGTCAATGCTATTGAAATGCTGAATGGAGTAGCTCTTATGGGGGGAAACAAAGCCCCAGATAAGTCATTAGGGTATTGTAAATTAAAATAATAAATATGTCATTATACATATATAAGGATAGCTAAAATTAAAAAAAAAAACTGACAATACTAATTATTGTCAATTGCAGAGCAACAGGAACACATATTCATTACTGGTGGATATACAAGATGTCCAGTCACATTGGAAGACATCCTAGCAGTTTCTTACAAAATTAAACAGTCTTGGAAACAACAACTGGGCTCTGAAGTATTTACCCGACTGCTTTGAAAACATGTCCAAAAATTTGCTCATAAATGTTTACATTATCTTTATTAATAATGACCTAAACTTTAAAGCAACCAAGATGTCCATCAATAGGTCAAATAATAAAAACGGTATGATACCCATGCAATACAATATCATTAAATGATTAAAAGAAGCCATTAAGACACAAAAACACTTTAAATGCACACTGCTTAGTGAAAGAAGCCACCCTGAGAAGGACACCTGATTCAAGTGTATGACATTCTGGAAAAGGCAACAAAATTATGATGGTAAAAAGCTTAGTGTAGCTAAGAGTTTGGAGAAAGCATGTGTGGGGTGAATGGATGAAGGTACACGTTTTTAAGGCAGTGAAGCTATTCTGTATGATCCTATAATGGTGGATATATGTCACTATGCCTTTGTAAAAGCCTATAAAACTTTATAGCATGAGGAGTGGACCTTACTGTATCCAAATTTTAAAAATCAGTTCAGAGGTTGGGAGATTCTAAGATGAATGCAGAATTTAACAAAACAATTTGAAATGAATTATAATTGTAGGAAACGAGCCCACTGAAGGGGAATAAGGTAAAAGTTGCTGACCTATGTAATTTTGAAAATAAGTGGTATCTGTAAGTTTAAAAGCGAAACAATCTGTTCATAAGCACTGTACTCTAGTTAATAAAGTTGTTTCCTGCAAGGAGGTGGATTAAAATTTTTGATAATGCAATATATGTTGAAATATTAAGTAAATTGAATTATTTAAGTAAATTGATGTCAAGTGGTGGGAGTAGGTTTCTAGTCTTAGCTAGCTTAACCAGAAAAATTAAATGTTTTAAAGTATCAGTAATAAAAAGTATAACAATGAAGAAAGTTTACTAATTATAGTTATAAGGCAAATAATCTCAAAAACATTCTACTCTCAGTGGTAATTACACTTATGGTAAAGATATATTGTTACCAAACCCAGATCTGGCGGCTCGCCACTCAAAAAGTCAAACATGAGAGATGAGAATTGGTGGGAGAAAAACCAGGTTTGTTTGGAAAGCCAGCAAAACTTGCATTTTAAAATACCATCTTAAATTGTTCAGTCTGGATGGTGGGAAATATAGGGAAGCAGAGGGGATTGGTATCAACAGGTGACCGAGGACTGCAGACAACTGGGTGCCAGCAGTGGTCCTGGGAAGTTGGGGACACCTTTGTCCTTGATCAAGTCATGATGCTCCTGTAAATCTCTAACAAAACATAGTTGATTACATACTTCCCCTTTAATCTCAGAGTTAGTTTCAAAAACTACATGATGGCTGTTTTTGCACATTATCTCAATGCTCTGAAATTATCCCAGCCTATGTGCAGGAATGGACAAAGACCTCTAAAATAAAAGTGAAGTCAGTTATGTTACAGTTCTTTTGCTGTTTTACTGTTACAGTGTCAGTTGTTAATAAAAAATACAAGAAAATTTTAATAAAATATTCTAGGAATATTACCTGACACTCTAACAAAAAGCAACTTATATTACCATTTGTATCACACATTTGAAAAATTCTGATGGACTATACAATAGTAGGATGAATAGAGTTAACAGTAATATATATTCAAAATAATTAAAAGATTTTGTTTTGTTTTTAAGACATTCTGTCTCTGTTGCTCAGGCTGGAGTGCAGTGGTGCAGTCTCTGCTCACTGCAACCTCCACCTCCTAGGCTCAAGTAATCCTCCCGCCTCAGCCGTCTGAGTAGCTGGGACTACAGGTGTGCACCACCATGCCTGGCTAATTTTTCTATTTTTTGTAGAGGTGGGGTTTTCACTATGTGCCCAGGCTGGTCTTGAACTCCTGAGATCAAGCAATCTTCCCACCCCGGCCTCCAAAATTGCTGGGATTACAGGCTGAGCCACTGCACCTGGCCGGGTTTTTGAGTGTCCTCATCCCAAAGAAACGATAAATATTTAAGGTGATGGATGTACTACTTACCCTGATTTGCTCATTACAATGCATACATACATGGAAACATAACTTTGTACCCCATAACCATTATTATTAAGTGTTCATTGTAAATTTCAAAAAAGAAATCAAAACGAATTGAATATAAAAACAGATTTACACGAGAGGGAACTAAATATATGTCATGTCAAAAGTAGAATACAATTAGAGAGAGGCTTAGTTTTCCATGCTAGACATTCCATGATTTAAATAAAAAAGGAATTGTCCAGATCTTTGAATACAGGTGAAGTTAAAAACAAGTGTCCATCACAAGAATATGGTTACAATTTTTAGAAAATGTACATCTCAATGATTAGAAATCGTAAGATCATAAACAAATAATGTATATGACCAACATAAAATATAGAGAAATGTACATCTCAGTGATTAGAAATCATAAGATCATAAACAAATAATGTATATGACCAACATAAAATACAGAGTAAATAAAAAACAGAATAAAATGAAATCTGATTGTAAAATTTGATAGGAAAAAAGAATATTAACAAGCAAATACGTAATTTTGAAGCTTATTACAAAGTAATATTAATTAGAACACGGATAGATTACTATTTATTCAAACAAATAAGCAATTAAATCAAATATTCAAATGTTCACATGTTTTGTATTCATTCTCCGAAAATAATTATTTTTATTTTTTGAGACGGAGTCTCGCTCTGTAGCCAGCTGGAATGCGGTGGCGCCATCTTGGCTCACTGCAACCTCCGCCTCCTGGGTTCAAGCGATTCTCCTGCCTCAGCCTCCCGAGTCGCTGGGACCACCACGCCACCACGCCACCACGCCCCCACACCCAGCTAATTTTTGCATTTATTTTTTTAAGTAGAGACGAGGTTTCACCATGTTGGCCAGGATCGTCGGAATCTCCCTACCTTGCGAACCGCCCCGATCTCCCGACCTCGCGATCCGCCACCTGCGGCCTCCCAAAGCGCTGGGATTACAGGCGTGAGCCACCGCGCCTGCCCTCTGAAAACAGTTCTTTAAAAACATATTTCAAAAAACATGAAAAAAAAAAAAAAAAACAGGAGACTTTAATCCACATTCTTCTCTAGATGCCACCTTACTTCCTTTTTCCACTTGGCAAACTTCCCCAAATAATTTTCTAAACAGTGTTCTTAATTTCTCTTTTTGTATTTCCTCTTCAACTTACTCCAATTGTGTTTCTATCCCATTCATTCTACTAACCCAGATCCTCCTAAGGTCATCAATGGAGTCTGTTTCCAGGTTCGCTAGGACAGTTCAGCCCTCACCTTCCCTGAAAGCACCACTGTCTTCCCCTCGTTAGACTCTCCCTAATTCTTTCCAATTTCTCTTTCTAACTGCACTGGCTACTTTACCTCAGCCTCCTTTACATATTCTCCTTCTCTGCTTCTCTGCACTACCTTTGAATGCTGAGGGTCTGCAGGACAAGGTTATGTCCTCATCTCATTGTCCCCTCTGTTTATAAGTGATTACATTCATTCCTATGTCCTTGTTACCAGACATGCAATAAAGAATCTTAAATAAAGAATCTTAAATTAAGAATCTTAAAAGAATCTTAAAAGGTATTCCTTTGCCCATGGCATTCGTTGTTCACTCTAGACCCATATTCCTAACTGTCAATAAGATTTCCGCAATTTCATGTCTCCCAGGCACCTTAGAAAGGACATCTAGTATTGTTCTTTCTCATCATCATTTGCACCTAAAGCTTCTAGTATGAGAACATCATTTTCTTTTCCTTATCTTTGTAGTGTTTCATATGGTGAAATTGGTACAGCTTTACTGTTTCTTTTCCTGTAAGAATGAAAACTATTCAACACAGAAAGAAACTGTCTTTATTCATCTGTATTTCTTTTTTAAAATAACTTTTTAAATTTTTGTGGGTACATAGTAAGTGTATATATTTATTGGTTGCACGAGATCTTTTGATAGAGTCATGCAGTGAGTACACCTGCTTGCTTGACATCAATTCCAAAATATGCCACTTTGATACTCACGTTATACATATTATGTAAATGGAATGAATGAATAGGTAGTATATATTACCATCCATTCCTTGATTTGGTTCAGAAAACTAGTGCTTGAATTTTGGTTTTAGAATAAATAACTTCAAGAAGTTTTGTTTGAAAATAATTTAATAAATAACAAAATACAATATTTAACCAAATGGAAAGCTGAATATGTTTTGTAATCTTAATACAATGTAAAGGCAAATATTTGTTATATAAGAATGTAAATATTATAAATATGATAAAATGTAAGAATAAATAAATAAGTAAAAATAAATAACATCTTAGGGACTGATGCCCCAGAACCTGTCTTTTTAACATATACTAGCTTAATATATTGACAAAGTACTTGCAGAATTAATTCAATCAATTCTGTGATTAAAGCAGAAATAAGAGTCTTTTGAAATGACCAGAGTCACATGTGCAAGTGCTATATGGCAAATGAATCAATGAGAATCATTTCAAGATGACCCCAGGTCTCCATCTTTACTTCTCAGTCTTTCTTGCATGTTTGTTGATAAGAACAAGGATTTCATGATTTCCATTCTGACAACTTCCCAGGCACAGTCGCTGTATTTCTTCTCTTTCAGGTAGACACGGATTCCCTGGAAGTACCTCCTCAAGGTCAGTGCAGGGCTCCTAATCGCCCCAGCAGATTCTCCTTCTCGCATTACCTGCACCAAGCAGGTCTCCAGGTGTTCTAGTTGCCGATGAAGTCCAGTGTGGAGATGGTCTAGGAGGGTCGTGTTCCAGGCAGCAGAGGAGCGCTCTGTGTGGAAGAGGCTGAAGATCTGCTGTAGCATCTCATGGAGGACAGACATGACCTGGGCCTTCTGCAGCTGGCTCCCTTCTACCATCTCCTGGGGGAACCTGAAGTCTCTTCTGTCCTTGAGACACAAGAAAGGGGAGATTCTCCTCATTTGGTGCAGAAGCACCAAGGTGTTCCTGCTAAGTAGGCCATGGTTCTGAGGCAGATCACAGCCAGAGATCCAACAGGACTATAGCTGGTCATCACTAGGGCTGCCAGCAGAGGGAAGAGGAGGGCCATTGGGAAATGAGGGTGCTGCTGGCTTTGCTGAGCTGGATATGGCTTAACATTGGACCCTAGGTTTTCTGAAGACATTCCTTGTATGCATGGCTTTTAATAGGAAACAAATGGTTTTCATTTTCTGAACATTTCTCTGTACTTTCACTTTCTTTTTTTGTTTTCATTTGTGTATTCTCCCTATGACTTTAAGAGGATGACAACAATCTATCAATTTTGCATTAGACTTCAGCTAAACTCGAGTAAACTTCAGCTGTGTCAGTACAAATGAATGCTTAATCAAATGAAAAATGTTTTGGTACTAAAGTCATAAGTGTATATACTATATGTATGTAAATAATCAGATACACTCACACTACACTAACTTTATATATTATATATTTATATATACACATTATATACGGAATACATGTATATATATATATGTGTATATAATATATATTTGTATATATGTGTATATAATATATATTTGTATATATAATATATGTTCATATATATATATGAAAAAAATCCTTTTCTGTGTTCTAGAAACAAAATTTTAACCCTTAACTTCCATTTTTACCCTCCTTACTTTACATAGGAAGTCAGGCCCTATGGGTTTCTATATTTGCTTTAGGATATACAAGATTATCTGCAGCAAATAAGCTCTTTAGAACCAAGAACAGGATTTTGCTGTTGTTTGTTTGTTTGTTTTTTAGAGATATTAGAGATGAGGTCTTAATCTGTCACCCAGGTTGGAGTGTAGTGGCATGATCAGAGGTCACTGCAGCCTTTAACTCCTAGGCTCAAGCAATCTCCGTGCCTCAGCCTCCTGAGTAGCTGGGACTACAGGTGTGCACCATCATGTCTGGCTGATTTTTTGTTGTTGTTGTTGTTAGAGATGAGGTCCCACTATGTTGTTCAGGCTGATTGCAAACTTCTGGCCTGAAACTGAGGCCTCCTGCCTCAGCCTCCCAAGTAGTTGGAATTACAGATGTGAGCCAAAAACGCGGGTTTGTTTGCTGTTTTATTCACAACAGAGGATGATGATGATTAGCGAATGAGCTTCTCTAATGTTTTTCTTCCTTCTAGAAAACATTCATGCAGGTCCATGTGGTTACGCTTCACTGGGACCACAGGTGAGGATTAATATACATTGCCTTTTCTTTCCATCATTTGCTTACTGAGGACAATAGTGCTCCCCTGTCTGTGTCAATATCACAGCTGGAATCCTGATTCTTTACAGGTGCATATGGATGTGGAGATTCTAATTCTCAGATATTTTACTTTCCCAGCATCTCCTCACTCACAAGGTATTTATCACATCTAGTAATACCTTTTCCTCTAGAGTAACAAGTACTCTCAACCCAAACTCTTCCAGACTCACTCCCAGGGAGCAGTCTCACAACATCCTGATAACTTCAGAACTCTTTTGGTGAGAGAGGAGTGGTTGCTTTGTGAGCAAAACAATTAACCCTCCAAGACCCTTGCCAGTGTCCCTAGAGTGTTTGTCTGAAGGACCCTAGCTCTCAGGGACGATCTCCTTTTCTCCTGACCCATGTGTCCAGGTGTCAAAAGTTTTGACAGCCCTCAGATACTGATAGCAAAGGTTTCTTTTGTCTAAGGAAGGTGAAAGGATTACCCAATTATAATCATTTTACCTTCATTAGTCAAATAATTTTCCACCATTTGCTGACTGGGGTCAATAGTGCTCTTCTGGCTATGTCAGTATCCCAGCTTGGAATCCTGATACGGTTTTTATTGTTCAATTCTTTTACGTAAGCTATTGAACATTTCTTATCCTCAGTGTTTCTCAGGTGGGCACAGGGGATCAATGGTGGTGTTGTCTTTCATTAGAAGCTTATATTACAGAAACTAGTGGTCTTCAGCTGCTCATCCAGTCATTGCAATTCTATCTAAGGGTTCTTTGCTCCTCTATCTCTGACTCACTCTGACAGTGCAGGGAAGTTAGACCCGGACTTTGCTGTCAGGGAGAAAGAGTCTTCCTTACTTTACTTATTTGTAATTTTTTATTTTAAAATTTTGTATCTTATTTTTACATAGTGGTTTACTGGGCAAGGTTTGTCTTGCTGCTTCTGCATTACATTCTAGTTCATGACAAAATAACACAAATTAAAGGAAGTAAAAGAAAGACAAAGGAGCCATGCTATTTTTATCTGTAATTTACATGACTTCAGATTTTTTTCTTTTTCATTTCAACTTTCTTAGAAAGCAAAACTTGATAGTTGTTTTGGGGCAAGAAAGAAAACAGAAAACGTAAGTCTGAATATCATGAAAGTGAAAGAAGGGAAGTGGCTTTCTGCTCATAAAATGGCCAAGTATAAGTTAGCAAAATAAAATGCAGCAACATCGATGACTAGGGATTCTGGCAGAGGGGAAGAATGAGCCCAATGTTGAGGTACACAAAGGCAGGGAAACGACTGTTTCTGCTAGAGGCTCAGAGAAGACCAAGTCCTGGGTCAATGAATTGCTCTTAGCTTTGCAAGACCAGACACTTGCTCTTTTGTTTCATTTAATATACATAGGATCAGTTCTGAGGAGGAAAGGGAGGCGTCACGCCAACCAGCTCACAAGAGATTGTCAACCAGTCCCCAATTACTAGAACAAGCAGCCTCCTCTGGCAGGATAATAGATGTCAGCCTTGCCTGAGCACGCTACCAAGTTAATAAATCCACCTAGGCAATGAAAAGAGTGCTTTGAGAAACCCAGGGTAAAAAATAAAGAGAACTGGATAATCCCAAAGATTCTGCTCTTTATCTGGATAATAATGATGACGATGATACTAAAAATGATAACATTGGAATTTGTTGCATATTGACTAAGACCAGTCTCTGTTCTAAGATATTTGAAAATATTAACTCAATCTTTTCAATAACCATATTTAGATTCTACTCATTTATGCAACTTTCTGGAGAGAAATATATATCTGGAGAGATGAGCTATTCTGAAAACGCCAATGATTTAAGGTGAAACCTTTAGGGGTAGTCAGTATAGTGGCTTCTCTGGAAGACCCCATCAACGGAAGTGGAGGGTGGATATGAGCAGAGAATTTATAAACCAAGGAGAGGTCAGGGCATGAAGTCAGGTGAGCAGGACAGGTAAGATGACAAGGGATTCAGAGTTCCACATCACATACCAATGTGTTGCCATCTATTACTTTGTAGACAGAGCAACGGGTGTGTGTTGTGAGTAAATTGAACTAATTTTAAGTCCTAAGTAAAAGTAGACCTTTTAAATAATCAAAATTGAGTATCTTTTTCTGCCAATTGTAAAAAAGGGCTAAGATTTAATGAGTAATTAATTCACTGAATTACAGTAAAACCTTTATTGACTCATCAACTGCAGACACTTAGAAGCCTTTTTATATTTGACTCTTGAGGTTTTGTCATTTTAAGAATAAACAGAAAGGACCTAACAATTTCTAGTTTAACAATAGCCCAGCCATATGGGCTCTGAGTTTCTCCCTGAGGATGTCATTGATTCCCCAGGACATTTCCTTCAGGTCAGCCTACTGTTTTTATTTCTGAAAGGGACAACTCACCTCCAGGCCAGACTTTGTTTTGTCTACTGATAGATTCCAAGTAGGAATTTCTTCTCCTTCTAATCTTACCAGACAATGGTTGAGCGTCCAGTGCCAAAAAGACCTATCGTATAAGCCAGATGGCAGACTCTATGTACTTTCTATATAGAAGCAGTGTGAAGGGATACTTACCAAGGATAATCTTATTTTAACCCCAAACTCCACCACAGTACTTAGTATAGTTGTCTTTATTTTTCTAACCTCATCATATTAAAAAAATCCTAAAATATAATGACAGGATTGAAAGAAACTTGTCATCAAAATCACCATTGGCTGGACATGGTGGCTCTTCCCTGTAGTCTCAGTACTTTGGGAGGCCAACGCAGGAGTTCAAGACCAGCCTGAGCAACATAGCAAGACACTGTATCTACAAAAATACTTAGCTGTGCATTGTGGCATGCACCTGTAGTCCCAGCTACTCAGGAAGTTGAAGCGGGAGGATCGCTTGAGCCCGAAAGCTGGAGATTACAGTGAGCTATGATCCTGCCACTGCACTCCAGCCTGGGTGTCAGAGTGAGACCCTATCTCTAAAACAAAGTAAAATAAAATAATACAATAATCACCATTAATGGATAAAATGATCAAGGCATTTTTTGGAATAGTTTCAATAGGATTGGTATCAGTTCATTTTTTGTCTAGTAGAATTTGGCTGTGAATACATGTGATCCAGGGCTTTTTATTGTTGGTAAGTTTTTTTTTTTATTATTGATTCAATTTCAGAACCTATTATTGGTATGTTTGAGTATTCAATTTCTTCCCGATTCAATCTTTGGAGGTTAAATGTTTTCAGGAACGTATCCGTTTATTCTAGGTTTTCCAGTTTGTGTTCATAGAAGTGTTCAAAACAGTCTGTGGAGTTTTTTGTATTTCTGTGAGGTTGGTGTAACATCATTTTTGTCATATCTGTGTTTATTTGGATCTTCTCTCTTTTTCTCTTTATTAGTTTAGCTAGTAGTATATCAACCTTATTTATTCTTTCAAAAATCAAACCTTTGTTTTTGTTTCTTTTTTGTATGGATTTTGATATCTCAGTTTCTTTCAGTTGAACTCTGATTTTGGTTATTTCTTTTCTTCTGCAAGCTTTGGAGTTGTTTTACTCTTGTTTTCCTAGTTATTCTTGGTGTGATGTTAACTTGCTAATTTGGGATCTTTCTGACTTTTCGATGTAGCCATTTAATGCTATTAATTTTCCTCTTAATACTGATTTAACTGTGCCCCAGAGATTCTGGAAGGTTGTATCTTTGTTTTCATTAGTTTCCAAGAATTTCTTCATTTTTGCCTTAATTTCTTTGTTTACCTGAAAGTCATCCAGGAATAGGCTGTCTCATTTCCATGTAGTTACATGGTTTTGAGAGAACTTCTTGGTATTAATTTCAATTATTGTTGCACCATGGTCCAGGAGTGCGCTTGGCATTATTTTTTT